GCCAGGCGGGCGGCGACAGCAGCGAGCCGTGCGCGCCCACGCAGCTGAACAGCGTCTGGCTCGATGGATGTACTGGATGTACTGGATGTAACGGATGTATGGAATGTCGCGCACCTCGTCCAGCATGGGGAAGAGCACGTTGAGCAGCGCGCGCCAGGCGGGCGGCGACAGCAGCGAGCCGTGCGCGCCCACGCAGCTGAACAGCGTCTGGCTCGATGGATGTACTGGATGTACTGGATGTAACGGATGTATGGAATGTCGCGCACCTCGTCCAGCATGGGGAAGAGCACGTTGAGCAGCGCGCGCCAGGCGGGCGGCGACAGCAGCGAGCCGTGCGCGCCCACGCAGCTGAACAGCGTCTGGCTCGATGGATGTACTGGATGTACTGGATGTAACGGATGTATGGAATGTCGCGCACCTCGTCCAGCATGGGGAAGAGCACGTTGAGCAGCGCGCGCCAGGCGGGCGGCGACAGCAGCGAGCCGTGCGCGCCCACGCAGCTGAACAGCGTCTGGCTCGATGGATGTACTGGATGTACTGGATGTAACGGATGTATGGAATGTCGCGCACCTCGTCCAGCATGGGGAAGAGCACGTTGAGCAGCGCGCGCCAGGCGGCGGCGACAGCAGCGAGCCGTGCGCGCCCACGCAGCTGAACAGCGTCTGGCTCGATGGATGTACTGGATGTACTGGATGTAACGGATGTATGGAATGTCGCGCACCTCGTCCAGCATGGGGAAGAGCACGTTGAGCAGCGCGCGCCAGGCGGGCGGCGACAGCAGCGAGCCGTGCGCGCCCACGCAGCTGAACAGCGTCTGGCTCGATGGATGTACTGGATGTACTGGATGTAACGGATGTATGGAATGTCGCGCACCTCGTCCAGCATGGGGAAGAGCACGTTGAGCAGCGCGCGCCAGGCGGGCGGCGACAGCAGCGAGCCGTGCGCGCCCACGCAGCTGAACAGCGTCTGGCTCGATGGATGTACTGGATGTACTGGATGTAACGGATGTATGGAATGTCGCGCACCTCGTCCAGCATGGGAAGAGCACGTTGAGCAGCGCGCGCCAGGCGGGCGGCGACAGCAGCGAGCCGTGCGCGCCCACGCAGCTGAACAGCGTCTGGCTCGATGGATGTACTGGATGTACTGGATGTAACGGATGTATGGAATGTCGCGCACCTCGTCCAGCATGGGGAAGAGCACGTTGAGCAGCGCGCGCCAGGCGGGCGGCGACAGCAGCGAGCCGTGCGCGCCCACGCAGCTGAACAGCGTCTGGCTCGATGGATGTACTGGATGTACTGGATGTAACGGATGTATGGAATGTCGCGCACCTCGTCCAGCATGGGGAAGAGCACGTTGAGCAGCGCGCGCCAGGCGGGCGGCGACAGCAGCGAGCCGTGCGCGCCCACGCAGCTGAACAGCGTCTGGCTCGATGGATGTACTGGATGTACTGGATGTAACGGATGTATGGAATGTCGCGCACCTCGTCCAGCATGGGGAAGAGCACGTTGAGCAGCGCGCGCCAGGCGGGCGGCGACAGCAGCGAGCCGTGCGCGCCCACGCAGCTGAACAGCGTCTGGCTCGATGGATGTACTGGATGTACTGGATGTAACGGATGTATGGAATGTCGCGCACCTCGTCCAGCATGGGGAAGAGCACGTTGAGCAGCGCGCGCCAGGCGGGCGGCGACAGCAGCGAGCCGTGCGCGCCCACGCAGCTGAACAGCGTCTGGCTCGATGGATGTACTGGATGTACTGGATTGTAACGGATGTATGGAATGTCGCGCACCTCGTCCAGCATGGGGAAGAGCACGTTGAGCAGCGCGCGCCAGGCGGGCGGCGACAGCAGCGAGCCGTGCGCGCCCACGCAGCTGAACAGCGTCTGGCTCGATGGATGTACTGGATGTACTCTGGATGTAACGGATGTATGGAATGTCGCGCACCTCGTCCAGCATGGGGAAGAGCACGTTGAGCAGCGCGCGCCAGGCGGGCGGCGACAGCAGCGAGCCGTGCGCGCCCACGCAGCTGAACAGCGTCTGGCTCGATGGATGTACTGGATGTACTGGATGTAACGGATGTATGGAATGTCGCGCACCTCGTCCAGCATGGGGAAGAGCACGTTGAGCAGCGCGCGCCAGGCGGGCGGCGACAGCAGCGAGCCGTGCGCGCCCACGCAGCTGAACAGCGTCTGGCTCGATGGATGTACTGGATGTACTGGATGTAACGGATGTATGGAATGTCGCGCACCTCGTCCAGCATGGGGGAAGAGCACGTTGAGCAGCGCGCGCCAGGCGGGCGGCGACAGCAGCGAGCCGTGCGCGCCCACGCAGCTGAACAGCGTCTGGCTCGATGGATGTACTGGATGTACTGGATGTAACGGATGTATGGAATGTCGCGCACCTCGTCCAGCATGGGGAAGAGCACGTTGAGCAGCGCGCGCCAGGCGGGCGGCGACAGCAGCGAGCCGTGCGCGCCCACGCAGCTGAACAGCGTCTGGCTCGATGGATGTACTGGATGTACTGGATGTAACGGATGTATGGAATGTCGCGCACCTCGTCCAGCATGGGGAAGAGCACGTTGAGCAGCGCGCGCCAGGCGGGCGGCGACAGCAGCGGAGCCGTGCGCGCCCACGCAGCTGAACAGCGTCTGGCTCGATGGATGTACTGGATGTAACGGATGTATGGAATGTCGCGCACCTCGTCCAGCATGGGGAAGAGCACGTTGAGCAGCGCGCGCCAGGCGGGCGGCGACAGCAGCGAGCCGTGCGCGCCCACGCAGCTGAACAGCGTCTGGCTCGATGGATGTACTGGATGTACTGGATGTAAACGGATGTACTGGATGTAACGGATGTATGGAATGTCGCGCACCTCGTCCAGCATGGGGAAGAGCACGTTGAGCAGCGCGCGCCAGGCGGGCGGCGACAGCAGCGAGCCGTGCGCGCCCACGCAGCTGAACAGCGTCTGGCTCGATGGATGTACTGGATGTACTGGATGTAACGGATGTATGGAATGTCGCGCACCTCGTCCAGCATGGGGAAGAGCACGTTGAGCAGCGCGCGCCAGGCGGGCGGCGACAGCAGCGAGCCGTGCGCGCCCACGCAGCTGAACAGCGTCTGGCTCGATGGATGTACTGGATGTACTGGATGTAACGGATGTATGGAATGTCGCGCACCTCGTCCAGCATGGGGAAGAGCACGTTGAGCAGCGCGCGCCAGGCGGGCGGCGACAGCAGCGAGCCGTGCGCGCCCACGCAGCTGAACAGCGTCTGGCTCGATGGATGTACTGGATGTACTGGATGTAACGGATGTATGGAATGTCGCGCACCTCGTCCAGCATGGGGAAGAGCACGTTGAGCAGCGCGCGCCAGGCGGGCGGCGACAGCAGCGAGCCGTGCGCGCCCACGCAGCTGAACAGCGTCTGGCTCGATGGATGTACTGGATGTACTGGATGTAACGGATGTATGGAATGTCGCGCACCTCGTCCAGCATGGGGAAGAGCACGTTGAGCAGCGCGCGCCAGGCGGGCGGCGACAGCAGCGAGCCGTGCGCGCCCACGCAGCTGAACAGCGTCTGGCTCGATGGATGTACTGGATGTACTGGATGTAACGGATGTATGGAATGTCGCGCACCTCGTCCAGCATGGGGAAGAGCACGTTGAGCAGCGCGCGCCAGGCGGGCGGCGACAGCAGCGAGCCGTGCGCGCCCACGCAGCTGAACAGCGTCTGGCTCGATGGATGTACTGGATGTACTGGATGTAACGGATGTATGGAATGTCGCGCACCTCGTCCAGCATGGGGAAGAGCACGTTGAGCAGCGCGCGCCAGGCGGGCGGCGACAGCAGCGAGCCGTGCGCGCCCACGCAGCTGAACAGCGTCTGGCTCGATGGATGTACTGGATGTACTGGATGTAACGGATGTATGGAATGTCGCGCACCTCGTCCAGCATGGGGAAGAGCACGTTGAGCAGCGCGCGCCAGGCGGGCGGCGACAGCAGCGAGCCGTGCGCGCCCACGCAGCTGAACAGCGTCTGGCTCGATGGATGTACTGGATGTACTGGATGTAACGGATGTATGGAATGTCGCGCACCTCGTCCAGCATGGGGAAGAGCACGTTGAGCAGCGCGCGCCAGGCGGGCGGCGACAGCAGCGAGCCGTGCGCGCCCACGCAGCTGAACAGCGTCTGGCTCGATGGATGTACTGGATGTACTGGATGTAACGGATGTATGGAATGTCGCGCACCTCGTCCAGCATGGGGAAGAGCACGTTGAGCAGCGCGCGCCAGGCGGGCGGCGACAGCAGCGAGCCGTGCGCGCCCACGCAGCTGAACAGCGTCTGGCTCGATGGATGTACTGGATGTACTGGATGTAACGGATGTATGGAATGTCGCGCACCTCGTCCAGCATGGGGAAGAGCACGTTGAGCAGCGCGCGCCAGGCGGGCGGCGACAGCAGCGAGCCGTGCGCGCCCACGCAGCTGAACAGCGTCTGGCTCGATGGATGTACTGGATGTACTGGATGTAACGGATGTATGGAATGTCGCGCACCTCGTCCAGCATGGGGAAGAGCACGTTGAGCAGCGCGCGCCAGGCGGGCGGCGACAGCAGCGAGCCGTGCGCGCCCACGCAGCTGAACAGCGTCTGGCTCGATGGATGTACTGGATGTACTGGATGTAACGGATGTATGGAATGTCGCGCACCTCGTCCAGCATGGGGAAGAGCACGTTGAGCAGCGCGCGCCAGGCGGGCGGCGACAGCAGCGAGCCGTGCGCGCCCACGCAGCTGAACAGCGTCTGGCTCGATGGATGTACTGGATGTACTGGATGTAACGGATGTATGGAATGTCGCGCACCTCGTCCAGCATGGGGAAGAGCACGTTGAGCAGCGCGCGCCAGGCGGGCGGCGACAGCAGCGAGCCGTGCGCGCCCACGCAGCTGAACAGCGTCTGGCTCGATGGATGTACTGGATGTACTGGATGTACTGGATGTAACGGATGTATGGAATGTCGCGCACCTCGTCCAGCATGGGGAAGAGCACGTTGAGCAGCGCGCGCCAGGCGGGCGGCGACAGCAGCGAGCCGTGCGCGCCCACGCAGCTGAACAGCGTCTGGCTCGCCGCGCGACGCACCGGCGCGCGTGCCTCCGTGCACAGCGAGCCTGCACACGCACGCAACCCTCACTTAACTATCCACCTTAGTGTATATATAAATAGCGGCGATAACCGTGACCACCATGAGACAGCACTTAATACATTTTCCAGTCAATATACTGCAGACGAATGTCATGTGGATATCCAATGAATGACAAAGATCAACCAATCACGTGAAAGACTGTTCACCGTACCCACACCGCGTCCTTGTACTTCACTAAGGAGAACTGCTTTTTGTTTTACATGGGGAAATGCCTACGTATACCCGTCTCGCGGGGGCAAGGACAGGTTATGTCGGACTCGCACCGACTAAAATCCCATGGTGTTCCACCTTTGTCGCATATTGACAGGACCACGGGACGCTTTCGCACACATCCGCGGCCCCACCTGTGCTGGCCGCTCTTCCTCGGGTGAGGACTACTGCTCCCCCATCTCCTTCTTAGGTGAGGCTCACCATAACACATGGCATGCCGTCCACCGCGGCCTCCAACTTCACCTGCGCAACGGACACCCCCGTGTCCGAAGCGCAAAGGTCATGGGGCCAAAACACTCAGAAGCACTAGCCTTCCTGAGCCCAACGGCGGATCTGGTCTATGGCTCCGCCGCCAATCAAGATTCGGCTTCGTAGGGTAGGGAGAGCAACGCCTCGCAATACTGATAGTCCTCTCCCCCCCGTATCCGTCAACGGTGCAGCCCCGTCAGAGTCGCGGAGGAAAGGGCGAATGGCGCATCGCCATACATACCTAAGGCATCTTGTGAACAACACTTTCACTGTGGAATTTTCAGACGCAATAGTAAGACAATAGTAATGAACTTGTGTAGTACACGGGGGACAGCAAATGGGTTAAGGCTATGTCATATTGCTACTTATATGTGGTAGAATCACGCTGCAGATATATTATGGTTTTAACACAAATGGCTCAGCTCTTTTAAGAAGAATCACGCTTTCACAGAATACCAGCGTAACGCTACTGTTTTTCATATAAGTGTAGAAAATAAGAGACCCCTTTTACTGGAAACAAGGCGTTCCATCCGTATCCTCAAGAGTGATAAACCAACTGCATTTGGATTCTTAATCAATGATAGATGTAGACATCTATAGGTCATAGCATCCACTTACCATCAGGTGGACTGTGTGCATATTTGTCACCCATATCTAAAACTACTCATTGTATTCAATTGTTATTACATACCTAATATACACAAGCACCTACGCCTGCTACCATGATGGGTAGGCTCTATATCGGTATGTAGTATCATTAGGCACGACCACGACGCAAACAAACTCTTCGGTACGGAAACTTTGAGATTGTCCCATCTTTTACTATTAACTTGGCTCATCCATTATTATCGTTACATTTATTTATTTATTTATTATTTTTATACTTAAAAATATAATATAATTTTATTATCCGCCCCAGCTTCGCATGGGTGATTTCTGGATTCCGATAACAGGGCCATCTACCGGGTTAAATTGTAAATCTAAACCATCCAGGGACCCACTCAAACACACATAAAAAACAGCGACTGATTTTTATATTTAATAAATATATATGAATTATAAAACTTTTATCATAAATCATACTTTTTGGTCCTTCCAGCTAGATTATTTACAACCAACATTATTAATTCAACTCAAAATAAGGAATGATATTGTTTTGTCACCATTAGCGAATGACTAATGACTCACTGAGACGTATGTAGAGACACATCCACAGTTTGTCGAGCGGCGGCAGCTCGGCGTGGTTGGGGACCTCGGGACACACGGCCGCGTCGCTCGCCAGCGCGCCGGATAACTTGTCCCGGTTGTGGTAAAGGTAGTCCGATATGTTCCACTGGTCAAAATTAAATTTTTTATTAATAAACTATTCCAAAAATGTTAAATACTCAATTATTTTGCCTACGAAAAAGATTTATAAGTGAAAATTCATGAATGTGCATCATGTTCATGTGTGTTTGGTTCTATATACATCTATTTTTAGAATATCTTTTGCTGCTTGAGGTAAAATGATAAATATATTTAAAAACTGCTAATAGCTGATAATGAGTACACTAACGCGCTGTGTAGCGATTCTATGTGAACTGAAGAGCTAGGAAGTATCTGGTCTAATGCGTGTTGGAAATTTAACGTTTTAGAAGTATTTCCTTTTTCTTCCAATATGCAGGTTTTCTCATGAAGTTTTTCTTTACCGCCGAAAACGTGGCATTTATTATAAGCGCTTATTTGTTCGTTATACTGTTAAAGCTACGCTATAGTCGGTAATTATGGGCAAATTTGGAGTTGAAACTTAAACTTAACGACGTCAAAATTTGTGTAAATAGTATGGGCTTATGAAGATGGAGTGTATAGTCGAGATTGTCTCTGAAAACCGATGAAGTGTGCAGCTGAGCGGTTCGAGGACGCTAGGTATAGAATGAAACAAAAACATATTTATTTCTCCACCGAAAAAGCATATACAGGTTTACTAATACACATAATAGAAATATAGAATAATTGGGTATCTCTGTAATTTAAGATTCCAGTTTGATGGCGGATTACATCAGAGTATTTTTTTTTTTATAGAATAAGTGACACACTGGCACAAAGCGCGGATCCGCGCACCAGCTTGCCCGCCGCCAGCTGCGCGCACGCGAACGTTTGTGTGTGCTGTGTGCTGCGTGCTGTGTGCTGTGGAGGTGTGCGGTACCATGAGTCCGACGGCGGTGAGGCTGATGTTGAGGTCCTTGGTCTGGCGCGCGAAGGCGGCGGCGGCGGCCAGCACGCGGCGCAGGCAGCGCGGGCCCGCGCAGCCCAGCAGGTCGCCCGCCGCCAGCTGCGCGCACGCGAACGTTTGTGTGTGCTGTGTGCTGCGTGCTGTGTGCTGTGGAGGTGTGCGGTACCATGAGTCCGACGGCGGTGAGGCTGATGTTGAGGTCCTTGGTCTGGCGCGCGAAGGCGGCGGCGGCGGCCAGCACACGGCGCAGGCAGCGCGGGCCCGCGCAGCCCAGCAGGTCGCCCGCCGCCAGCTGCGCGCACGCGAACGTTTGTGTGTGCTGTGTGCTGCGTGCTGTGTGCTGTGGAGGTGTGCGGTACCATGAGTCCGACGGCGGTGAGGCTGATGTTGAGGTCCTTGGTCTGGCGCGCGAAGGCGGCGGCGGCGGCCAGCACGCGGCGCAGGCAGCGCGGGCCCGCGCAGCCCAGCAGGTCGCCCGCCGCCAGCTGCGCGCACGCGAACGTTTGTGTGTGCTGTGTGCTGCGTGCTGTGTGCTGTGGAGGTGTGCGGTACCATGAGTCCGACGGCGGTGAGGCTGATGTTGAGGTCCTTGGTCTGGCGCGCGAAGGCGGCGGCGGCGGCCAGCACGCGGCGCAGGCAGCGCGGGCCCGCGCAGCCCAGCAGGTCGCCCGCCGCCAGCTGCGCGCACGCGAACGTTTGTGTGTGCTGTGTGCTGCGTGCTGTGTGCTGTGGAGGTGTGCGGTACCATGAGTCCGACGGCGGTGAGGCTGATGTTGAGGTCCTTGGTCTGGCGCGCGAAGGCGGCGGCGGCGGCCAGCACGCGGCGCAGGCAGCGCGGGCCCGCGCAGCCCAGCAGGTCGCCCGCCGCCAGCTGCGCGCACGCGAACGTTTGTGTGTGCTGTGTGCTGCGTGCTGTGTGCTGTGGAGGTGTGCGGTACCATGAGTCCGACGGCGGTGAGGCTGATGTTGAGGTCCTTGGTCTGGCGCGCGAAGGCGGCGGCGGCGGCCAGCACGCGGCGCAGGCAGCGCGGGCCCGCGCAGCCCAGCAGGTCGCCCGCCGCCAGCTGCGCGCACGCGAACGTTTGTGTGTGCTGTGTGCTGCGTGCTGTGTGCTGTGGAGGTGTGCGGTACCATGAGTCCGACGGCGGTGAGGCTGATGTTGAGGTCCTTGGTCTGGCGCGCGAAGGCGGCGGCGGCGGCCAGCACGCGGCGCAGGCAGCGCGGGCCCGCGCAGCCCAGCAGGTCGCCCGCCGCCAGCTGCGCGCACGCGAACGTTTGTGTGTGCTGTGTGCTGCGTGCTGTGTGCTGTGGAGGTGTGCGGTACCATGAGTCCGACGGCGGTGAGGCTGATGTTGAGGTCCTTGGTCTGGCGCGCGAAGGCGGCGGCGGCGGCCAGCACGCGGCGCAGGCAGCGCGGGCCCGCGCAGCCCAGCAGGTCGCCCGCCGCCAGCTGCGCGCACGCGAACGCGGACCGCACCAGCTGCTCGCTGCACGCGCACCCAGCCACAATCACACCGACGCACGCACGGACGCAAACACGCACGTACGCATCCACCGACAAAAAGTAAAAAAGAAAATACATTTATTTATTGAAATGAAAACTTCTTCAGAATCGTTGTGAGTTGAAACTCAATGAAACGAAAAATTGACAAACATATACATCTACAAGATTTAGCCTGCGAGAGATTAAGATGGATACATATTAAAGATATTAACGTAACTTTAAAAAATAACAAACTTATTAAATAAATAAACTTTACCATATTGAATAAAATTATCATATCCAATCCAATCATAACAATTCACGATTTCATAAAGCCGCGTATCGATTACCGAGTTTTGGCAGGAACTTGACCGGCGGCGGTTTGTTGCTCCTGTTTTATTGTTTAAATAATGGTTTGAAGTGGACTTTGATATGTAAAAGTAGTGCGTTTTTGTGTATTAAGTAACTGCGCATGTGAACTATTATTGGAAACTATGAAACAAGTGCTCTGATAGTAATGTGATTCTCAAAATAAGGTGCCTGTCTGCTTAGGCGCCTTGAGATACCATCGCTAACCGTCAGCTGTCTGCTGGCTCAAGTTACTGTCAAAATCTCCCAAGGGCTGCACAATGTGACGCATCAACATATTGTGAAGCATACCATATAAGCAACATAAGTATACTATGAAGAATAATTATTATAATATAATATTGTAACTTCAGGCTCAGAAGGGCTAGATCCCAGAGCCGTAAAGTCAGTTATCAAGAAGAAGAGGTATCGATTACGTGCTCCTGGCGCGCGCACGATGAATGACCAATGCGTTCCGCGCTCTTTCAAACGTTTTCCAAATGTTCGAAATGTATCAACTAAGCGCGCCTGGCGCGCGCGGCAGCCGTTGCAGTATTTGACCGGTCAACGTAGATGTTGGTCGTATACGAACAGCTGCCGCTTCCATAGTTCCATACATCTTCTCTGAGCGCTTTATTATGATAAAAACGACTTTTGCTATTCCACAGCAGTTATTTTGAACCATACTACAAACAACTATTTATAACAGTGGTAGAGCCACGCGGCAGCTTTTGCTGTCGCACGGATGGGCCGGCTCGAACCGGGGTGGTACCACGACCTCACAGAAAACCAGCGTGAAGTAGTGGTTTACCTTACCCGAGTGCGAGTGCAAGTGCGAGTGACGTGTGCAGCATGACGCACCTGTGGCGCTCAGAGACGGCGGAGATGATGTCAAGCATGAGCGGCCAGGCGGCGCCCAGCTGCTCGCCGCGCGAGTGCAGTAGACGCGCGGCACACTCCAGCTGGCGCGCGCGCACGTCGCAGTGGCGCACGCCGCACAGCTCCGCCAGCGGCTCCAGCAGCAGCCGCTGCCGCGCCTGCGAACGCGTGTCGTATACGTCACTCACAACTGTAGGAATGCACAGTACATAAATGTAGTAATGACCTCCGGACCGAATTTCTGTCACGGCGACCACTAGCCATTTGCGCAGGACATGGTTATCATTGCACGAGTGTGTGAGCAAATATAGGTCATGGAGTATAGAGTAGAAGGAGAACCATCTCATATGGGGACAAAGTTAAAAAAGTGTCCAACTATATACTGAAAATAGAGGTTCCAAAACCTGCCACAATAGCGCTGGCGTCTGAAAAACTACGATATGAATATAGCTTAGATTATTTACTCTCTAGATAGAGTAACGGCAGCTCAAAAGCGTCGAAAAAAATATCAGCTAATTGTTAGCCTCTAAAGCGATCCCCGCTCCTCACTGTCAATTGTAACGCCAAGAGATACGCACGCACGGCTAATTTTTTGAAGTAAATTATTTTTGTAAAAATAACAAGTTCCGCGATCAAAATTTGCAGAAATTACAAAAGACGTTTACAAACAACTAACAAAATCTCTTACCATCGGTGAGTAACTCAAAACTTGTAGTAATTTACGAAAAACAAAACTAATAATTTGATAATTTTATTTACAAAATCAACGCGTCATTTTTTGGTGTTGCTAGTTTTGGATTGCAAATTTCCCCGTATTGTGTTCTTAAAAGCTGATGTATGTATGTGTATGTGGGTATATTTCAAAAATTGTTTGGCTGAGCCTACAGCCTAAACGGATGGACCGATTGTTCTTGTTTTGCAAGCTTCCGCGCAGTCGGGTGTTTTTTATTTAGTCTTAAATATTTTTTCTTTATTTTTCTCTTTTTTATTTGAATTACTATATAGTATTGTATAATTATTTTCAAAATAGAATGTGACCATTTGGATACATGATGTTAGGATACCTATTGATCCTATAATTAGAGGTATAATTAGAATTAGAATTATGGGTGGACATAATGAGAACAAGCCGTGGAGAAGTGTACTGGAAATCATCCAAAACCACAGTGATATGCTCTGAACATTTCCGTGAAAAAGACTTGTAGTTTAGTTGCAACTGAACACGCATGTGGGTCTCTTCACCAATTGAACCTAATAAGACTGATCGCCGAAAAATATTTGACCATACTCTGTTATCATATAGCTAAATTAGATAATGTAAACAGTGATGCAACCTCAAAACGCAAATTATTTAAAAAACAAATTCAAAAAGAGGGCCATTATATTAAATAATGATAGGTTGAAAATAGAAGAGACTACTGTGTTCCTGGGGTTGACCTTAGATGCAAAGCTTCAATGGGGCACCCATATATCAACTCTTGCTGGCACAAGAATGCAGGACGGAACAATTCTTCTTAAAATAATCTATTAAATTAAAAAAATATACGGTAAAGGGTACCTGCGGGATAAATTATTTAACTATGACGCAGACGAAATCGCCAGCCAATCTCTTGTATTTCTATAAGTCAATATCATACTTTAAACAATAAAACATATTTTGTAAATGCGTAATTGATTTTAATTTGATTATATTTTTCTTTACAAAAAAAAATTAGATTCTAACTCAACAGACAACTAAACACACTATTGAAAGCACCATATTAAAATATTATAATTTATGGTTTTATTAACATGACAATTTTACAGTTTTTCCCCGTTTTATCGGGATAGATTCATTAGCTGGTATCACCCAGATACAAATGACACTGGTGTAAGTCATAGTTACTTATTCCGTTACCATAGACACCGCTAAGCGTGTGTGCGTGATGACGCACACACACCTGTAAAAATTGGTCTGTTTTTGTTGCATTGCTCATTGCGTGACGCGTTATCTAGAGAGTAAATAATATAAGGAATATAGCTGTTGTAGACGTAGTGAAGTCAGCTGAATTCACAACTTCTTATTAATAAAAAATGTTTAACTATAACTATTGTTATCAGTGATTGTCACATCATTTCTATTATGAATCGTTATAAGTAATAATTGTATAATTTATCATTTTTGTTTTATAATATAATATTTAATTATCAAAAATAAAATAGATTAAAAGTCATTGTATTGACGTAATAATTATCATAGATAATTTTTTCAGTTTATTTCCAATTTAGAATTTGAGATATTTACAAAGTTAAATAAGTTATATAAGTAATTTCATCTTCTAAGCATTTCTAATTAATTCACTCATCAGTAATATTTATAACAGTGTTTTACTTATTTTCATATTAAAAAAGTATGTTGGTTGTATAATTCTTACACATTCAACCTGTTGCTAAGTTCAGTTTTGATAGGTAATAAGGATAGATTACCACCATTGTGCGATATTATAAAACAATAAAAACTATTTCAAAAATTATTGAATGCCATTCGTGTTGTGAACACTAGTAAACTGCGACTCCTGTAATACCTACTATTGTAGAAAATGTAATCGTTTATTTATACAATTTAATAATATAAATCGTTGAATAACCTGCCTGTTGATTTATTTTACATTTACACCTTATTTATCCCATAAGAATTATTATTTTTCTTTCAACAAATACATTTTAACAAGTTAAAATAATTTTAAATTTTACTCATCATCATCATCATTACAGCCCTTCACAAGTCCACTGCTGAACATAGGCCTCCCCCAAAGAATGCCACAAAGCACGGTCCTGAGCCACCTGCATCCATCGACTTCCTGCATATCTTACCAGGTCGTCACTCCATCTAGTGGGGGGACGCCCAACACTTCGGCTGCCGGTACGAGGCTGCCACTCGAGAACCTTTTTTCCCCATTGGTTGTTAGTTCTTTGAGCTATATGGCCGGCCCATTGCCACTTCAGCTTACTAATCCGTTGGGCTATGTCGGTCACTCTGGTTCTACTGCGGATATCCTAAATTCTGAGTTCATCACGCAGAGAAACTCCGAGCATAGCCCTCTCCATACCTCGCTGAGCGACCTTGAGCTTCCTCATACGGCCAGCAGTGAAGGACCACGTCTCAGTTCCGTATGTCATCACTGGCAACACGCACTGGTTGTACAGTCTCGTTTTCAAGTTTTGAGGTATACCTGACGAGAAGATGTGCTGTAATTTCCCGAACGCTGCCCAACCGAGTTGAATCCGTCGATTGCCCTCTCGGTCGAAGTTGGATCCTATGCTACTGCAGCTCCAGTCTTATTCGACGCGTTTTTACGGACACTTTTCATATACAGAGATAGTCCTCCTTCTACTCTATACTCCATGATACAGGTGCAAAGTGCACCTATAGTTGCGCGCTATTCCTTCATTCTCATAGTCCGACGGGACAGAAATACGACACGACTGGAAAGATCAGACACAAGACCAACGGTTTCAGATACTTTCCGAGGCCCGGGAGTAAAACATTATCGACTTCCTGACTCCAAGCTGCTACAGAGAATTTTTTGACAGAAAATTGCAAGAACTGATTTTGACCCGATCTGAGATTTGAACTCGGGGCCACATGACCACTAGTCTAATGAGATAATACCCAAGTGCAGGAAGTATTTGCATTTTGTGTTGTATTTTTGTATTTGCAGAAGTCGAGATACCATCCATACAATCTGGATGATTGACGGTCCACTACTGTGCGATTTACAAAAGGTTTTCTTCCTCTCACAACTTCCTTGTGGAATCGAATGCCACCAGCAATTTTTCCGAACCAATACGACTTAGGGACCTTCAAGAAAAGAGCCTCCTATTTTTTAAAAGGCCGGCAATGTATCTGCAATTCTCCTGATGTTGCAGTCGTACATGGGCGGCGCTAGGCACTTACCATCAGGTGAACCGTATGCCTGTTTGCCCCCTCACATATTAAAAAAAATATGACTATATACAGCTTTACCAACAATTACAATTTGCAAACCTAAGCAAACTCAACCCAAACGCACAATAGGGCAAAAAATACCAAACAGTACAAGTCACTTAAAGTAAACAACGTGGCGTGATAAAGTGAACAAGTGCAGTGCGGTGCGGTGCGGTGCGGTGCAAGTTTACGACACGAAGCGAACGTGATCACTTGGTTTGATATTTTCACGTGATTTTAACACGGTTTGCGATTTATGTTTGATTGACAATAAATGTCAGAAGTTTTGATACAATCGTATATTATCTTTTAGTGAACGGAAGGAAGTTGTTAAAATAATTATTGATAACAATATTTAAAAAAACAACAAAATATTTGTAAAATTCTTTTATTCATCTTCAGACCAAAACAGTCCACTGAGCATGAGCCTAGAAGTGAACGGATTTACAGTTATCACCGTACTTGATAGGCGGATTATAACAGTGTTCGCAAAATTTTATGGGTTTTATTTTGTAAACATCATTACAACACTTCTTTGTCTGTTGTAATAATCTACTGCTGTATATAGGCCCCTCCCACTTTACGGAAGATATGCAATAATCGTCACCCTTGTCAGGCGGATTGGCGAACGTTATACGTACCATATGTATCGCACCTATGATGCTGCGCTTCTCATCACCGATCTTGATATATTTATATCTGGAGTTTACGAGATGGTCGTACAGCCATTTATTAGAAGCCTAGATCTTTCTGACACGCGACAACATTTCTAAATATGTTCCTTTATATACCCATCAATTTACCATCCCATACAGAAAAAAAAACAACCTACCTCCGTAACTAGTGCCGGATTGTTATGATGGTACTGGAAGGCCGCTTGGACGAGATATGTTATTGCTTCCACACCCCACTCTCGCATGCGTATGTGCGGATGTTGACACACCTAAAATAGAACATCCATTGAACGTTGGTTAAGAGTGCAGAGTTGATACCAGTGTTGTCACCAAAAGCGAGACGTCCTGATTTTTAGGATAAAATTAAACGCTACGCGCGGGACGGATACAGGCCCGTTCTTTTGGGATTTGTTGACAGTGTGGCTGCAGCGTGGGCAATTTAACTGGCCGGCCACCTATTAGTTTGTTTAATAGGTACTTAAAAATATTAGATTTTTTTGAAGATAATGAATACCGCTATGCCTGAAAAAGAAAACTTGACAATGGTTGGTTAGTTGGTTGATATCCTGGTTATGAGTGCGATAATGCTGCTCCGCATCACCGGCCTTTATTATTATAATGGCACCTTATCTAGCCACTATATTTAATACAAGCGTCGAATCTGGTGTGTTTCCTGATTTAATGAAACATAGTAAAGTAATACATTTATTTAAATCTGGTAGTACATTAGACCCCGCCAATTTTAGACCAATTTCTTTACTACCAACATTTAGTAAAATTTTTGAAAAAATTATTTTAGATCAGATGTTAAATTTCTTGAATATTAATAAATTGCTCCATAAAAATCAATTCGGGTTTTACAAGGGGTCGCTCGACAACTTACGCTGGAGTTGAGCTTATTAAACATATTTTTTGTGCATGGGAGAATTCAGAGGATGCTTTGGGTATATTTTGTGACCTTTCCAAGGCCTTCGACTGCGTTCACCAAGAGACATTAATCAGGAAGCTACAGTACTATAGTGTCAAGAACACAGCGCTTAAACTTATTATTTCATATTTAAGTAATAGAATGCAGAAAGTTATTATCAATGGTAAAAGTTCTTCCGGATCACCTGTACTAATGAGTGTCCCTCAGGGCTCCATTCTCGGCCCATTCCTATTTCTAGTGTATATTAATGACTTACCTTCTCTTGTAGGGGATAATCATGATATAGTATTATTTGCTGATGATACTTCCTTGATTTTTAAACTTAAACGTCAATCATTTTAATGTGACGAAGTGAATAATGCTATATCAAAATTAGTGCATTGGTTTAACATTATTATCTACATTGAAACTGAAATAAAACTAAATGTATTAAATTTACAACAACTAATGTTAAAAATCTGAGTACCAAAGTGTTTTTAAATGGGAAAGAACTGAGCCCTGTTGAATCCACTGTTTTTCTTGGCATCACTCTCGACGCAAAGCTTCAGTTGGGCCCCCATATGTCCAAACTAGCAAGCAAACTAAGTTCTGTAGCCTATGCTGTAAATAAGATTAGAGGTCTCACTAGTGTCGAGACAGCTAGATTAGTTTACTTCAGTTATTTCGCTATGGGGAAATGCGGCTGATTCAGAAACTATTTTTGTTTTACAGAAGAGGGCCATTAGAGCTATTTACAATCTAAAACCGAGAGAGTCTCTTAGAGATAAATGTAAAGAAATAAATATATTAACTTTAACCTCTCAGTATATTTACGAAAATTTAATGTATGTTCACAAAAACAAAGGTAGTTTTAGTAAAAAAAGTGATGTACATTCTGTAAACACTAGGAACAAACACAAGCTAGTGATACCAGTTTCTCGACTCCACAGAGTCAGTAATTCATTCTTGTGGCAATGTATACGCTATTACAACAAGGTCCCGGAAAGTGTACAGGCTCTGTCTATTACCAAGTTTAAATGTTTTGTTAAGTTGAAACTGTATAAAAAGGGTTATTATAGTATAAATGAATATATGGTTGATAATAACCCCTGGGAATGAGGTGGTCGCTTCTAAGCTGTTTCTAAAATAAATGTTGTACCAACCATTAATGTAAAATATGCTTTTAAAAAAAATGTCCCGCTGGGTTTCTTGCTGGTTCTTCCCAGGACAGGGGCTTTTTTCGAACCAGTGGTAAAGTAAAAAATGACTTTCAATAAGAATTACACATGTGATCTATATTGAATTATTCTATTCTATTAGGATTCAGAGTTTCTAGATAGATTTTTCGGCGTCAGCCGGTCGACAGGTGAACTTAGCATGTTTGGAGAAAAAGTTGTAATAATACTACTAAGAATTGTGCTTATTTAAAATGTTTTTTTTTTTCAATTAGCAATATTAAATTTATTAGTCAATATTTTTATATATTATGGATACTTACTTCTAAGAGATGGTTAGTGATAGGCCTCCACATAACTTCAATTCTGTGCATATTGGCTAAACCTGTCTCCAGTAGTTTCGCTACAGCAAACAATGACGGTTCCTGGAATAGTTTTCAATGTACCGTCATCAAAAAATACCTTTAAAACCTATACAAAATATTTTTATTTATTATTATTCAATTTTTTGTTAAGTTCATGAAAACAGTATTTATGCATTTCCCAATATTTTTATTTCTTATTTTATTAATTTAATAGCTTTTTAATTTTAAAACAAATGGCAGTACCCTGTTAGAATATGCTAGTTCCATTGCTTCATTAGACAGTTTACAAAGCGCGTCAATTAAATGGTGGAGTGCCACGTCGTCTAGGTTCTTGGACGATTCGAACACTCTTGACAACATTGCAGATAACGCTGAAAATAACAAGAATCTCGGTTTGTTTATATGTATCGTTTCTAAATATATAGAGCAGATGAAGCAAAAACACCAAATATTTGCTGTTGTAAAAGGGATGCCGGCAAGAAAAGTAACTGTAAGGTTTAATAGGGCAATCAATATAGACTTTTACTACTCCTAGACAAAGCATCATATTTGTGTTAAACTTAACCTCCTCTTAGGTCTCAAACATTGGAAGATTAGGTTCTCTAAAAATAGAAAATTAGCAAAAGAGTTAATGCAAACCCTGAAACATACATATTATATCTATATATGTTTTCTCATAATCATTATATGCGGTAGTGCCATGCTGCAGCTATATTAGTAGTATAGTTGTTGCACGAATGGGTCGGCTTAACCGGGGAAGGACCACGCTCTCACAGAATACCAGCATAAAATAGCAGCTTAACGCTGCTGTGTTTCGTATTGTGAGGACCGGTAGAGAACCGGAGACCCTTTTTACTGGAAAAAGAGGCATTCTATCTTAGTCCTCACGGGTGACAACGTATCTGAATTTTGATTCTTTATTGAGGATAGCTGTAGATGTTTATGGGTCACAGCAACTGCTTACCATCAGGTGCACTGTGTGCTCGTTTGTCACCCTATCTTACAAAAAGAAATTATAAACTTAAAGTATATAAATATCAAATATAAATAACATAATAGAACATAAGCTTACACGCCTATCACCCAACCGTAGGCAGAGACTACGGATTTCCATTGAGTGCGATACGTACACATCTCTAAATATATGTATGACAAATAAATATATGAATAAAATTGATGTAAGCGTGTAGGAGCAGTAGTGATTTTTATTTTTTTGAAGTGTGTCGTATTTTATATTAAATAAATATATTAACATTTATTTAGGATATAAACGAATAAATTAAAAATTAAAATTCATTATAAGGTAGCCCTATTAAAGTACACACAGTGACACAATAATGCACAATATCTTATAGCATTATCCGTGGCATACGTGCATAGTAAGCTCTATTTAACGGTAGTTGCAAGTTGTGTTTGAAAGAGTGACAATGCATAATTTTTGCATCTTCATCATCACTATCATATTTTCTAGGTAGTAGGACTCCTATTTTGCCTAGTAGTCCATCAGAGTAGGTACAACTCTCTTATCTATTTATGCCACCAAATAGTGATGCTTGAATATCTGTGTTCCGGACTGGAGGGTATAGCGAGCCAGCATAATACAGGATTTCATTACTTTCTTTAAATTATAATCGAGGGTAGATTTAGGTGTCTATAGTCAACAGCTTTCACTTACCATGAGTGGGCTGTACGTACGTTTGTAACCCTTACTTTAAAGCCTCTACCGAAAGCTACGTTAATGCATCTACAGCAAAACTTAAAAGATAGTGTTAAATATAAATATTCAACATTACGAGCGAAAAGATAAATAAAATACGTAGACTTTCTATAAAAAAATATCCAACATCCTCTCTCTGTGTTTCGTGTCTAAATGCAATAAAACGTGCATAAAAGTGACAAAAACCCAATAAGATAACAAGAACGGCCAGCAAGCTCCATCCCAGTGCACGCGGTAGACAGACAAAAGCTTACATCCCTGCAAGTCACACGAGCGCTTTTCAGTATTGTTAACTGTCACTCTTAATAGACTCTTGTAGCTTAACATTATAAGGTCGATTTTGCAATGACAGTTACAATATTTAAAACGTCGAGCGCTATTGTGAGGTTATGTCTATTTGGAATCGTTGAGGGTAACAGTGAAAAAATTGAGACGAAAAGATCTCGTTACCCTATTTTTTAAGAATTTTTATTTTCATTAATAAAATTTTGCAAGTAAACTAACATAATGTTACGAAAGCCATTTGCTTATTGTGTCACATTGCACGAGAATGTTCTTGGCGATTAGGGCCAGTGGCCTTTTACAAGTAATAAAATGTGTGGGCACAAAAATAGATAGCGCTCGGAATATTAATGCAAGCAAGTATTAATATTCCGAGCGCTATCTATTTTTATGCCCTTATGTCCACGTCAATTAATTAAATATTATAATACTATTTCTTTATAGAAAGTGGGGCAAACAAGCATGCGGTTTACATGATGGTAAGTCGAACACAGCCCGTGAACAACTGCAATGCCAGGGGCATTGCAGGCGAGGAGTTGCTGGTCTTTTAAAAAAGTGTAATCTCTTTACTTGAAGGGCCCTAATTTATTTCCTATTCTATTAACACTTTATATTACAAGTGGTATTGTAACTAAAATAGTTTTATTCAAAAACGACAACGATTCCAAATGGACATAAATATACTAATCGTCAAAATGTACCGCTCATAACTCCGAGTGACTCCGCTACAGGAACTTGCTGACCTGGAAAACATGGAATACAAGACTTACAACAAATTATATGATAAACTAACAACCTGAATCAATGATAATATATCGAAGTTTCTGCCGTACGCAATCAATGAGTGGAAAATGATTTTTGTGTAGGTTGACAAAAGAGAAAATTTATTATATTTTGAAGTTTTAACAATGCAATGGATAAAAAGTAATTTAAGAAATAATTTTATATTTAAGTAACGTTTGGAACAGCAAAATGAAGAACGCTTTTCAAAATTAAAAAAATGGGCGGTTTAAGACGAACAAAGAAAGAAAGACGGAGCGCTGGTATAGTTCAAGTGACGTAAAAACCAAACAAAAACCATGCTCAATCTAAACAAATAAATGAAATTGAAGCGTTTATTTGTAATATCATAAAAAATGCTTTTTACTAAATGCGCATGAAAGTATATACTATACTTATAACAACAAAAAAACAATTTTTAAAATGTTTGCCTGTCTATTTGTAACGGCTAATCTCTGAAATGGCTGGACTGATTTTGACGCGACTTTCACAGGTAGATAGCTGATGTTATAAGGGGGTAATTTAGGCTATTTTTATTTTAAAAAGGGAATTAGGGTTTCACAAAAAAATTAAAAACCATGAAATTCTATCGTTATTAATAATACGCGGACGAAGTCGCGGGGATCAGCTAGTTTATTGTATACATCAAAAATCATTTCATTGTATGAGTGTGTGTCAAGAAGTTGAACATGGGTGTTGTGTCACTTGAAATGTACGCAACGCTACGTCGATCTTTCTTTCTTGGTCGAAGAGTGCCGTAATTTTATTATATTAATCTAATTAGCACGATTCCGTTACAATTTATTCAAAATGTTTTAATATTCTCACGGATTATTGGTTCATGTCAGTTCGTGTGTGACATTAATGTATGAAATACAAGAAACATAACATAATAAGGTTTATTTAAGTAGTTTATTTAAAAGCAATGTATGAGTAGGTAATAACTTTAAAGAAACAACAAACTTAGAAATGTTGAATTTTAAATAACCACTCAGGCGTCGACATTAACCAATAACTTAGTCAAATCTATGGTCAGGCCAAAGACATTTTTTTTAAATGAAGGTAATTGTAACTTGAGTCATTACTTTGTTCTTATCCAAAAATAAAAAATTATCAACAATTAATATACCTCATTACTTTATGAAGGTCAAGTAAGCGCTAGAGAAACGACGATTGCAAGACGTTGTCCATATATAAAATGTTTTGAGAATCATCCGTGGGTCTCGTAAGAGGAGACTAGACTTGAGAAAAGTGTTATTTTCTAATTACCGTGACCGTCGTTCCGGTTACCAAAAACTCTTAAATAACTACTTGGAATATTAGAACGACTTTATATATGCATTTTATATTTAGTATTAGGTTTTATTTCAGTAGTCGATTTTTTATTACCTTCCTTATCTAAGCTACGTGACTATGTTATAAGTACCTTTCTAATAATTATTTCAGAAATATAAAAATTTCACCTAACCTAGGCGATCAGTCAGTGTACCGTAACAAGGTAGCGGTAGCGAAGCATCCATAGAAGCCGAGAAGCGGGTTTGCCCTATCAACTAATAAAATAACTCGTAATCTGTTTCAAACTATTTCAAATTTCCCGCGCGCTCCTCTGTTCTACACAGGTCATGACCTCGTAGCCTTATTATGTAACGTCAACACTTGGTAGATTGCTTTCAATTCGAAATACACTGATTCGTGTTCTCTCTGTCTCAAAGCGAACACGCAATAGACTGTCAAAATTAATCGTCACAGAAAAACTGCGCGATACTGCTGTCATAAAAAAGGAGTTGAGTTGAACGATTAATCGTCTCTCGCACGTGTGGGTTTTTTACCGGGCTTTTGAGAAGACGACTTTCTAACCTGTGGCAAAATGTTCCATAATGAAATATAACTACGATTGTTTATATAGCAATTAGTATGGAGCTATAAGCTGGGCTTTCGGAGTGAAGTTAGTCGAGCGCGAGGGCACGTGGGCGATACGTTTGCAAGTTCACTTCACATTTCGATGTTTACTCTGTTTGTTTACTTGAGTGAATGTATATTTTGGGTTGAAAATTTATGCTTGTGTTCCTTGTGATGAATTGAAGTGTGTTAAAGTGCTGATCGGCGAGGTAAAGGTAAAATCTTTAAACTTATTTAAATCTCCACAAGTTCCTCCGCGGAATGTGCTTTCTTATCTCTGAAGCGCATCCATACTTATTTGAGAAATACACAAGGTCAAGAGCGTCTTTCCGACTTATCAATTATCGCAATTGAAAAACCGTTATTCGTACAATTAAAACTTTCACAGATATTTTACGCCGACTTAATAAAGAAAGAGAGACGATTCGATTTAGAATATAAATAATTTGTCTTTTTTAATTTTGTACATTGTTTGTGCTTTGTTCACGATTTTCTTTTGTTCTTGTATTGTATCTTTTTCTTTCGCTCAAGCAAACCTAAACGGCTTTTTTCAAAGCCACTGAAGGTATGCAATTGCTGATATGGCATACAATCTATCTAGCAGTAGTATGCCTTCTGTGTGCTTTGTTAAACACGTCCTCGACAGCACTGAATATGAAAGTGAAGAGTAGAGACAGATCAAGATTGGTGTATTTTTATAAAACTGCTAAAAACAACAAAACCGTATCTTGTGCTTGCCCTAGTTTCGCCATTGGTTAGATTAATAACTAATTTTATTTTTAGAAAATTGTATTGATGTCCAACGTCCATGACAGCGAAATCCGACAGTACGAACGGGACATATTATGCAAAATACCGATACGAGTACAAAAATAAACATAAAAATATATCAAAATATTTATCTTTGTGCTGACTAATTTAGGTACGATTAAACAAACACAGCAATTGTTAATAGAATATTTGCCTACAAATATTTGTGTGTATTTTATTTAATTCTGACTCTGAATAGAGATTTAGACTGAATTAATGGTTCCCATACCTAGCCTACATGTTTAGAAACTAATGTTATTAGTTCGCGTTAGCTATTGATGAGCAAGAGAAAAAAATTATTGATATTGATATATATCGTATCGATATTTTTAACCAGCATCGATATATTCATCCATCTGTTATAGCCTATTAAAGTCTACTGCTGAACATAGGCCTCCCCCATAGATTGCCTCATAGGAGGGTTTTGGTATCGTTGCCACGCTGGCAGGCCGATTGACAAGCGCAGTTTTTAATTATTTTGAGTTGTTATCAGGAAGATGCTGCTGCGCATCATATGTTTCGAGTAGTGTAGTGGCGGTCTAAGACTATCCACTACCCCATATCATTCGGTGGGTGTCGTAAGAAGCGACAAAGGGAAGTCGAAACAGGGCTGCCAGTATCCACTTCATTTCTGTGAATAGTGCCGATTTCACTTAATCGTCGATAGGTAGCTCCGAAGACAGAAACGTGGGAAAGCCGGCAATCAGGAAAGCAACGTCGATATTCTCTTCAAGCCCTAGCAACGTTGCCGTCAGCAAAACCATAACAGTACATGATGTGGGCATATTCTTTATTAGAATATGACGCCACTTTAACTTCGACGCACAAAAACAGTAACAATGAACATTCAGTAACAGATAACGGTAACAGCAATAATAACAATAACGATAACGACTGAAAACAATAACAAATAAATTAACGCGATGAGAGTTTATTAGAAGTAAGTTTAAACACGTGCTTACGCAGCGATAATCGAAACTAACCAACGAACGTCGCCACGACTCAATTTAAAATGGCCGTCGGCTTTCTGAATAGTTGTCAACAACCAATCAGACGCCAAGTAACTAAAAGTGTGCAAGTTCGTTCCTAAGAGCAATCATTCTTTGCCGTTCTCTACCTGCGTTAAATAAGACATTTTTATTATTATTATTCATTAATTTCACCGGGACATTATTACCTTTTTGGATAGCTGATTAAATGGGCATATTTTTGTTTCATGTCATAGTATCTTTTTGAAATACGCAACATTTTATGATACATAAAGTATAAATAGATTTTTTTTATTAATACCCATAACTTTTGATTGTGAATACTTTTTGTACTTTTTATGATTGCATTGGTTTGGTTGAAGCTTCAAAAAAAAACTTAAAAGAAATCATACAAAAAAAAGGTTTTATTTTTATTTAGAATTTAATACGAAATTCTGGGCGATTATTGAAAAACCTTTAAAATCCGTATATTTCAAGACCTTTCGGCCATACATATGGTGGATCAAATTTATAGCATTTTGACTACCCTACCCCTATCATGCCCTGCCAGGAAGTTGTCGAGTTCCCAGTAACCCTGTATTAAACGGTTTTTAAGTAACGATTAATAAACATCGTTTCATAAATTCTTACCTGTGTTTAATTGAGCTAAAACATACCTTATAATTATCGCTTACCTAATATTTACAAATACATACCTACAAAATCAAATTAATAACTTATGTACAATAACGCATAGGCGTCAATCTTGGCGCATCACTATTCAACCACTCTCAACTATGTATCAGTATTTATAGAACATCTGGTTACGCTTGGCATAATGGACACTGAGCGATACGCGCGCTCTATACCTTGCTTATTTGTACTCTAAGTTCTGAACACTCTTGTCTATTGTTCTAAGGGGTCCCTTATAATTATTACATACTCTTTGGCGGGGCCTATAACTTTAACAAGTAGATCGCCATACGGATACGGCCGACGCTTGATAGGTTAAAGGTGTTTTAAAAGTTCATTACAGGAGTCTTTTACAAAACAACTAATACCTAAGGAGAATCAGTAAAATGTTTTATTATTTAGCAAAATGAAGTTTCTATTAATGTAATGCAAAACGCTAAAGCTAAGTGAATCGTTTGTTACCGGGCAGGTCGGCCATGACGGCGGAGGTGCTCATAACCGCGTTGGCGTCCGCGCTGGCACGGCTCGCCTTCATGCTGCCGCCTGTCGACGGCTTTAGCCCCAGGATCCACACCTGTGCCACGCGGAACCATTGAGAATAATCACTAGTAGCAAATAGTATCGCATGTCACCAAATTTTTTACGTGGTAGAGCCATGCTGCAACTATATTAGTAGCATAGTTGTATCACAAATGGGTCGGCCCGACCGGGGAAGGACCACGCTCTCACAGAATACCAGCGTAAAATAGCAGCTTAACGCTGCTGTGTTTCGTATGGTGAGTGTAGAGAACCGGAGACCCTATTTACTGGAAATGAGGCAATCCATCTTAGTCCTCACGGGTAAGAACACATCTGCATTTTGTTTGATGTAGATGTCTATGGGCCGCAGTAACCACTTACCATCAGGTGGACTGTGTGCCCGTGTGTCACCCTTATCATATAAAAAAAATAATTATAGCCTCCGTATCTGCCACAGCTGGGCACAAGCTTTTTTGGTATTTCTGAGAGCCTTATGAAAGAATTAGAACGCCACGTTGCTCCAGTATCGGACTTCAAATGCTTTCCAATTTTTGAAGTTATACTTCTTTTCGGGCGTTTGGGAAAAATGATGAGAGTGAATTTTTCCGATGCGCGCGCACACTGACATCTAAAAACGACAGCATGAAGTTGTCAGGATGTGCGCGTACAATGACACCTAAAGGCGCCAACTTCAGTGGGTAATTGTCTCACAATTTTTTTTGTTTTGTTACGCTAAAGAAGTATAACTTCCTACGTGTGTACATAAGTACACACACACTTTATTTTTATTTTTTAGACATGTAGGTTACCTGACGATGTTTTCCTGCACCACCGAGCACGTAGTAAAATACTATTTAAAAATAAAATAACAATTTCATTAGTGCTTGCTTGCATGCTATGAGCGGTTAGCATTTAGCTCTGAATAAGCAAGTAATTGCTTTGGTAGTATGTACAAGAAGTAACTTTGTATACGTATTCGATAATTAAAAAAGAATTGCGGGGTGCTGCGGAATTCGAATTCATCTTGCTTGCATGAATTGAAATTTAGGTTGCTAATTTAATAATAATAATAATAATTTAATAAATAATTTAATTATAATATTTTTAAATACTTTTCTTTCTGCTTTGGATTAATAAATGACCTAACCTTTTAATAATACAAATAATATACGATCTAAATATTACTAAATAATTTATGAAATTATCTTGAAACATCTAATTTACTAATTGACTACAATAATTCATTAGTTATACATATTGTATATGTATTTACAACAGATTCTTTGTTATAACTTACCAGATGTTGAAGTGTAGTGAGGACTGGTAACCAGGCTTGTTGGATAGTGTCGCCATCTCTTCGTGCAGCGTTAAGCAGGGCTTTCATAGCTGTCACGTGACGTGACGTCACCATCACGAACGATTGCTGTTGCCCTGGTAGATTTAAACATAGATAGTCTTCACATGTCTTCGTAATATTTTTATTTTGTAAGACATGCAGGTTTCCTCCTGACTTTTTGTTAACCGTCGTGCATAAATCGGTATTTAAAATGTGGTTGTGGTTTAAGAAATTTATTCTCATTAAGAATACAAAATTCACTTATCATGAGAACATAAAAACTTATAAGTTATAACAATATCTGGGGAAACGTAGAGGATGGGGGTACATTAAGAAAACAGTTAAAACAGTCACAGCGTCGGATTGCAATTTCATTGGTGCCGGCGGGGATCGAAACCGGATTGCTCGAGTACTGTGAAATTTAACAGCGAGCACTAATCACCTGAGCTACCACGGAGCTACGTAGAAATATGTTTTAATATTATTTATTTTTTTAATTAAACAAGCAGTATAACACAGTGAAATTTTAATGGTAGCCACAATTTAATATCTTTTTTAAAACTTCAGATTTAAAATTAATCTATAATCCTTAGGGATTTAGTTTTGTTATACTTTTTTGTTCTTTACTGATTGTCAAATAAGGCCCTGTGACGTCGACATTAATGAATTTTTCTGCCACAAGGGAGGTGCGATTAAGAAATGAGGTGAATTATTTTACAGATTTTATAGCGGGGAAGTTAATTCGTTAAAAAGTGTATACATTAATGTTTCTTCACAAGTACGAGAGCCACACTGAAATGATCAGGAATAGAATATTTCGGATTGAGTTACAATAAAACCTTTTTTAGAATTTGAATACTGGCCTCTTAGAATCTTAATGACATTCAAACAATTAAAAAAAATGTTTAAAAACAAAAACTATGTTGGTTTAAAGTTGACACGTCGTTAACAGAAATGGAGCTCACGCGTGAACATTTCCGTGCCATAATTTATCACAATTTTCATCGCGGCTTATCTCAAGATAAATGTCTCAGCGAACTTGTTTCGATTTTTTTGATGTTGAAGCACCGAGTCAAACGACAATATACCGCTGTTATGCCGAGTTCCGACGCGGTATGTCGTTAAGCACTATTTCTTCTGCAGGTCAACAATCGGCAGCAGGAAAACATCGCAGCTGTGCGAACTACTATATTAGATGACCGTCATGTGACATACGAGCAGATTCGGGCTGTTATCAGTATCGGAATGACTGCAATTCAGTCGATATTACATAATGAGCTGTGTGTAAGAAATCTAGTTTTCCGTTGGGTTCCCCACAATTTGTCCGAAGAGCAAAAGGCGGCTCGTGTAGATTGGTGCCGGAATACTCTACAACGCTTCAAGTCAAATGCCGTTTATAATATCGTCTCAGGTGACGAATAATGGATTTATTCATACGAACCTGAAAGAAAACATCAGTCAGCAGTTTGGGGTCAGTGGTTTGGGTTGGGGTCTTCGAAGACGAGGTCAAACTAACGAAACTGGTTCGCTCCCGCAGCATGTCAAAGAAAATGGTCGCTACGTTTGTTTCGAAAAAGGGGCATGTTGCTACAATTCCTTTACAGGAACGCAGAAAGGTTACCCCTGAGTGGTATATCACGGTTTGTTTGCCAGAACTGGTAGCCGAACTCCGAAAAAAATAACCCGAAACGTCGCATCATCTTACATCACGATAATGCGAGCTCCCATACGGCTCGGAAGACAAATGATTTTTGAAGCATGAAAACGTTGAGCTGATGAGCCATCCTCTGTACAGTCCTGACCTGAGCCCAAACGATTTCTTTACATTCCCTAGAATGAAAGATTTATAACGCGGCCAACGGTTTGAAGACCCCGAAGCAGCTATAGAAGCGTACTAATCAGCCATTTTGTCAACACCAACTTCAGACTGGAATTACTGTTTTAATGATTGATTTGCACGAATGGAAAAGTGCATTAAATTGAATGGAGAATACTTCGAAAAACAATAAAATACAATTTAGCTATACTGTGCATGTGGTTTTTCTTATTCCCGATCATTTCAGTGTGCCCCTCGTATAAGAAGTTTAAGCTCTTTAAATAAAGTACAAAAAATAATTTATAAACGAAAACCATTGAAGTAATGTAGTGAAATGAAGTGAGTGTAGTGAACGTAGTGAGTGCGTTGAGTGTGGTGAGAGTATTGAGTGAGAGTAATGACAGTAGCGAGTGCAGCGCGTGCAGTGAGCGTATCGAGTAGCGAGCGGTTGCACTGACCGGTGGGCACCTGGGCGCAGGGCAGCGGCGTGCCGACCCAGACGACGTGGTGGCGCAGGTCGGGCGCGGGCGCGGGCGCGGGCGCGGAGGGCGCGCGCGGCGGCGCCCAGGGGCAGGCCAGCGCGCCCAGCGCGCCCAGCGCCGGCACGCAGTACTGCGCCGGCAGCGCGCAGCGGCACAGCGCGCCCACGCACGCGTCGCGCGCGCTCGCCACGCCCGTCTGCGCCCCACAACCACACGGCACACTACATACATAGTACTCACACTGCGCAACACTCAATCTACAGCTCTCTCAGTAAAGTACAAACACTTCTATGTATGTTTGAAAAAGTACATAACTTGATTTCCTATATTTTTTATAGAATAAGAGTGACAAACGAGCACACAGTCCATCTGATGGTAAGTGGTTGCTGTGGCCCATAGACATCTACATCTATCTTCGTTTGCTAATTAAAATGCAGATGCATTATCGGCCGTAAGGACTAAGATAGAATGCCTCTTTTCCAGTAAAATAGGTCTCCGGTTCTCTACACTCATCATACGAAACATTAAGCTGCTATTTTGCGCTGATATTCTGTGAGAGCGTGGTCCTTCCCCAGTCGAATCGACCCATTCGTGCTACAACTATACTATTAATATAGCTGCAGTATGGCTCTACCACGTAAAAATTTGCCTAAAAGCAGTAACTGTTGGGTGTTGTAAATAAAAATACAACTACATGGCATATACACCGTCTGCTGCCGCCTGAGCGTGAGCCTGAGTTATGGCACAGTTTTTGTTCTCAATTGTGGGTCTAATCGTATACATAGAAGTCTTTGGTAAAGTACAAAAATATGGTGTGGGAACGGTGAACATTCTTTCACACATAATAGTTCCGTAAAAATTCACCATTCATTAGATATTCACATGCAGTATATTAGCTATACATTAGGCAATACATTTTCTATAATACTGACACTTGGTGAAAACGACTCGCACCGCTACGTGCAATTTATAATTCTGATCGCAAAACTAATTTTCCTATACCATAAATTGCCTCTTATTAAACTTTCAATATTAATAAAATTGATCTCCGTATATATCATATTATTAAAAGTTTATTTCATATTCAAAGTTAATGAAAGACTATTTGCTATAATTGTGTAGAAAAACTAAAAATATTTTGTTAGAAGTTAATATTGTTTTGCATGCGTTAAGCGCAAAGCGCGTAATTATGTTCTACTAGCGCCTAAAAATAAAGGATTCCAACGTTTTATCGCATGAAATCGTATCTACGAGTAACAATCATATTGAACATATAAATGATATAAAAATCACATTGTCAGAAAGATAAATGATTGTTAACTTTTTTTTATTGATTAATTGCTATTTTTACAATAAAAAAGTGGTTTTAGTGGATTATGGTGTAAATAATTTTGTTTTGCATGCCTTAAGCGCAAAGCGCGTAATTATGTTCTACTAGCGCCTAAAAATAAAGGATTCCAACGTTTTATCGCATGAAATCGTATCTACGAGTAACAATCATATTGAACATATAAATGATATAAAAATCACATTGTCAGAAAGATAAATGATTGTTAACTTTTTTTTATTGATTAATTGCTATTTTTACAATAAAAAAGTGGTTTTAGTGGATTATGGTGTAAATAATTTTGTTTTGCATGCCTTAAGCGCAAAGCGCGTAATTATGTTCTACTAGCGCCTAAAAATAAAGGATTCCAACGTTTTATCGCATGAAATCGTATCTACGAGTAACAATCATATTGAACATATAAATGATATAAAAATCACATTGTCAGAAAGATAAATGATTGTTAACTTTTTTTTATTGATTAATTGCTATTTTTACAATAAAAAAGTGGTTTTAGTGGATTATGGTGTAAATTTGTCAAGTCCGCATGGAGGAGTAAACACGATAACTTTTGAAAATAACATTTGTTTAACTCAATCTATTATTATTTATTATTTAATCTCTTCATCTATCATGTGGGAAGCCATGGAATGTAAATGGCCGTTTAATTTTGTTTTATTTAGTTATAATTAATTTTTTTCGGCTGAGAAATCCACAAATTTTCGGTATTTTGAGCAGCCTTGTAATAATTTATTTTACTAAATACACTTTGCCTCACTCGCACTCCGAACTCTGCTGCCGTCGTGAGTGGATTACTCTATGATAATGATGTATCGTTTGCTAACAGCAGCGGTAATAGGCAGGAAAAATATCGATCGCTGTAAAAATTCCAAAAACCAAAGATACATATTTGACCAAGGTTATTATTTTTATAATCACAGATTTTTATTACAATATTTTGTGAACTGAAGGTGTACTTCGGTGAATGCTACTGGAACTCCTCGACCAGTAGTACTAAGTGTGCAGAGTATGGCCCCGTTTTGTTAGTTATGATAAGACCTTACTTCCGGACTTGATAGAGTGACTTGAAGGTGTACTTCGGTAAATGCGACTGGAACTCCTCGAAGAGTAGAACTAGGTATGCCGCATTTGGCCTCATTTTGTTAATTATGATAAGAACTTACCTCCGGACTTGATAGAGTAACTTGAAGGTGTACTTTGGTGAATGCTACTGGAACTCTTTGACGAATAGAACTACAATTTTTTTAATTTTTTCACGATCACATGAGCATTATGAGTCATCACTTTTGGATTTTCCAAACTTTTTTTAATTGAAGTTTGACATAAAATTATCGGAAAATTGGAAGTAAAGTAATGATTTTTAATATATTATATAATAATTAAACTACTTTAAAAATTTGCGTATGAACACGTTATACGCAATTTTTTTAACGCGCTTAAGGCATGCACAATTGGTTTTACCAATAGTTATTTTTTTTTTCCACTTTAATAAATAAAAATGATTAATATCACAATAAGTATGATATTTTTAAATATCATCATTATTCGATAACCGGTCGGATTCCAAGAAAGGGCCGGATCCGCCGGGTACTAGAACGGACCGGGTAGCTACCTCATCTCTATTTCTAAGTACGAAAGACTTCTAAAACCTGATTTACCTTTCAAATCTAAATAACTGAAAATGTATGTTAACCGCGTCAGCCCAGCCGACGTCATCGCAGGTGCCCAAAGACTTATGTATACTACAAAACCTGCAGTTCAGAACATAAATTGTATCACAGCTGTGGATCGCGAGGATTCCCTTCCCTTTCCACCATTGGACAACTCGGCGTTTCGAAAAACCCTTTGTAGTCCTTCATAATGAGTATAGTAAAGATTTGGATTGATCTGCCGTTGTCTGTGTTTCCGTCCGATAACAATCTTGGCGTCTTCAAGGCAGGAGTGAGAATAGGCTTTTCTCACACAATGCGATTTACCATCTAGGTCTTTATAACCACTTACAAACAGGTGTGATTGTAGTCAAGCTTATAATAATTTAAAAAAAGAAGCAGATTCGTCTGTCTGTCGTTTTGTATTTTAATGTGTTTTGATTTTGCCAAAAAGCAGGTGATCTACTTGCTGTCATTTTGGTTTCTGTATTCGTTAATGTTTCGAATTAATAATCTGCCCTAAATATATTTTTTACAAAATGCAGCATTTCAATAAAATGAGTACGAGACTACAAGGACATTCTCTTAAAATATCAACCTTACTTACAAGTGACATATCCTGCTATCTCATGGACGAGGCTATGGCGACTGAATGAAAACTAACATAAACCCATCCATAAATACTGATATTAAATCCCACAGAAAAATTAAGTAGTGATTTAAAGAAATAGTGTCCGGAATTACCTTCCCGCTGACCCTGGCCAGCGTCTGCACAGCACAGAGAATGTTCTCGAGCTCACCGATGCTGGCCTCCGCCAACACCGACAGTCCCCACACCAGTCCGCACCACGACGATTTTATAAGCTGCAAACGATTACATGTTGCAGTTAACTTAATTAGCCTTTTAGTTAACAGCCTATCCTTTTTACTTTCCAACTCGTTCAACTAGCGGCATTAATGATATTCAGCCGATGCGTCTAATACAACATTGTACCATTGTATGTGTATCTTGTAATATCAGTGACAGTAGATTATTGTGCGGCTGGGATGACCCTTGGGCCACCCTAAAGCCGCGTACATTATATAACACATAGCGTATAATTAGGCATAGAATAGCGACATTACGTGGCATGGTCATCTTATTAATTTATATTCAACATGACGGTTTAGATGAACGGTGCAGTTTAGTAAAAAGGCTGGCTGTTAACTGAAACGCTAATTAAGTATGTCCTTTTTGGTCTATTACTGCTGAACTACGTTTTACTTTTAAATGTCAAATAGTACATATACTATCTGATATTGCTCAATAATGACTGGACTATCCAATAGTTATCGAAAATCGATCGCACTTACAAGTTTTTAAATAATAATAATTATTACTAGAAGATCTAGCTTTGACTAAGTATTATATATGCTGTGTGGTGACTGCGTAAGAAAATCCATCACACTATATAGTTTCGTGACGGTTCACGAGACTATATGGGGAATACACGGTTGTAGTGGCGGTGTATGAACATCTACTACCCCATATCGTTGCGTGGGTGTCCTAAGAGGCGACAGACCAGGAAATGGGCAGCAGCATAACAACTCAAAATTATAAAAAATGCGATTACCAATCCGCCAGCTAAGCGTGACAACTATGGCAAAACTTTATGAGGCAATCTATGGGAAGCCTTCACTGCTAGCCGTATGAGGAAGCTTAAGGTCGCCCAGTGAACTATGGAGAGGGCTATGCTCGGAGTTTCTCTGCGTGATAAACTTAGAAATGAGGATATCCGCAGTAGAACCAGAGTGAACGACATAGCCCAACGGATTAGTAAACTAAAGTGACAGTGGGCCGGCCATATAGCTCGAAGAATAGACAACCGATGGGGAAAAAGGTTCTCGAGTGGCGGCCTCGTACCGGCGGACGAAATGTAGGGCGTCCTCCCACTAGATGGAGTGACGACCTGGTAAGATATGCAGGAAGTCGATGGATGCAGATGGCTCAGAACCGTGCTTTGTGGCATTCCTTGGGGGAGGCCTATGTTCAGCAGTTCTGTGATGGATAGATGGATATAGTCTCGTGGATGTCATAAAAGTCTACTATATATACAGAATGACAAAAGGGCGTAGGATCCAAGGTGCGAGACATCTGATATTGGGATCGTAAATGCCCTTTCAAACGTGGCAACTATGGCAAATCCCCTCTAATAATCAAGTAGCCCATGTCCAGTGTTTAGTAAATCGGTAGATGGGATCGAGGTTTCCTGATCGTTAGATCAAAAGATAATTACGTAAAAATATAACACCTTATAGATACGATAGTAAGCGTCAGTACCTGTAGTTTCAAAAGCCTCTCTTTCTCTGCATTCGGGTCAATTTTTTCCACCACATTGGAATTCTGATCAGGTTCTATTTTATGTCCATTACTCGACATATCTTCGGTACCAGTTTTGTTTTCAATTTCTGCAAAAATAATATAATTAGCGAGGACTACGATATACGAATTAACAAGAAGTTGACAAGTTAACAGTGTTTAATAGTGGTAGAGCCACGCGGCAGCTATTGCAGTCGCACGGATGGGCCGGCTCGGACCGGGGTGTACCACGACCTTACAGAACACCAGCATGAAATAGATAGAGGTTTACCGCTGCGTTTCACTTGGTAAAACAGAAACGGAAAACTACCCTAGGAGGGTAGGGCAAAATTCCGCTCGCGACTAAAACTGCTCGGGGCAAGCGGAGCAATAAGACCAAGACGACCCCTGTCACGATATCTGTGAATTTTTGCAACATCAGGGGACTTCATTCAACCTTAACGCTGTCTAATTCCATCTGGAGACGGCGAAGCCAGCCTTGGTCTTTTAAACCGAGATTCACGTGTCCTCTCCGGCTGATACTTCATATTTCTCCTACCCGGGGTACAAATTAGAACACTCCTTTGTGCCCCGGGCTGGAGTTTGCGCATACGTCAGAGAGGACATCTGTTTTCGACGCCTCGGCAGTCTTGAAGTTACGGACCTGTCCATCCTATGTCTGCGCGTAGACAGCGACGACCATCTCGCGTCTACGGATGCCTCTATAGGTCCCATAGCAATAATGCCGAAACAGACCGACTCATCGACCACGTCCAAATGGCTACAAATTCCTTGCTAAAGCATATCCCATCCGCAGAGATCGTGATCCTGCTGCCGAGGCATTCGGCGTGGTGAGCGTTAAAATCGCTTTAACGCTCACCACGCCGAATGACTCGATTTACGTTCAATCGAACATGCGGTACGGATATCAGGTTTCCGTCGACGCTCCTTTAGGCTCGTCGGACCATTGTCTTGTACGGAGCGTGGTGCCATTCACACTAACGTCGCGGTTGCATTCTGGAGGCTACCGCCGTTATTGGCACTATAGGTCAGCCGATTAGGATAGGATGCGGTCTTTTTTATCAACCTACCCTTGGGGACGGGTTTTCTTCTGGCCGGAAGATCCCAGCATTGTTGCTGATGTGGTACTTCAGAGTAGGGATGGGCAAAGGAAAAATATATAGATATATATATATCGAATTGATATCTTCAAAAGTATCGATATATATCGAGTGAAAAATAACGATATGTCGATATATCGTCATCATTTGCATGATGTAAGAATAAGGACCAAAATTTTATATTATTGACGGTTGGACGACAACCACACATGAATTAATACAAAATTTTAAAATATATCGAGTGATACGGATTCGTTACTCAAAAATAAGTATCGATATATCGCGATTAAAAATATCGTCGATGTGCATATCGATAAGTCTAAGAGAAAATATCGATATATTGATATTTTTGTCTAAGCCTACTTCATGATATGGAACTTTTTATTCCATCATCGGAAGTGCCCATCGGAGGCAAATTCCAGCCATGGTTTGGTCGCTCCTGTAAAACAGCATCACGCTATAAGCAGGTGTGCTACGGGCCTGGGCTGTTGCATCAAAGTTTCGGGATGTAAACACCAACGCTCTTAAAAAGAAGTATAATTCCGCCTCCAGGTTCTTCAAAAGAGTCATTGCCAAGGCAAGGCAATGCAAATCTGAGCACATCGGCAGAATTGAGGAGAAGCTTGTTCACCTTCCTTCGGGAACCCGTGCATTCTGGTCTCTCGTCAAGGCTGTCCATGGGAACTTCTATCAGCCATCTCTTCCATCTCTGCACAGAGAGCGCGACTCACTGGCCCATGATGTAAAAGAGAAAGCCGCTCTGTTAGGCTCTCTCTTTGAGTCCAACTCGACTCTCGATGACGGGGGGAACACACTGCCGACCATCCAGCAGTGTGAGTGCTCCATGCCGGATGTGCGGTATTCACAGCGCTCGGTTCGCAAAGCACTCCTCTCCCTGGACGTCAGCAAGTCGAATGGGTCTGATGGAGTCCCTCCCATTGTGCTGATGATGTGTGCTCCGGAGTTAGGTCCGGTTTTAACGCGTCTCTCTCGGTGCTCCTACTCCTAAGGCGTAGTGCCGAATTCATGGAAGACATCTTTGCTCCTCCCTATCCCTGAAAAAGCGACCGCTCATACCCGTCCAACTACAGGCCTATCGCCATCACCTCCTTGTTCTCTAAAATAATGGAGTCTATTATAAACTGCCAGCTCATGAGATACCTTGAGGATCACCAGCTGATTAGTGACCGCTATTACGGTTTTCGTCAGGGTCGGTCAGCTGGTGATCTTCTGGCCAACCTGACTTATAGATGGGCGGAGGCATATAGAGTCCAAAGGGGAGGCATTGGCCGTTAGTTTGGACATAGTGTAGGCCTTCGATCGGGTCTGGCACAAAGTGCTTCTTTCTAAGCTCCTTTCCTATGGGCTTCCCAAGAAATTGTGCAATGAGGGCTAGTAATTTTCTGCTCACCAGATGTCGCTAGTTGAGATTGAGGTAAAGTTTTTTGTTACACAACATCATTTGATTCAGAGGTTAGTTGTAATAAAAGTTTATCAGTTTCAAAAATATTATATTAATACACAAAACAATGACTCAGTGGTTTGCTTTTTAATTTTTTGCACATTTTTAACTTTTTTTAAATTATTCTACTTTTATGAATATCTGTGGTTTGGTTTATTTATTTTTAATCTTATTAATATAAAATATAGCTAATACCACACACAGAAACATTAATCTTTACATTTTCAGTACAAATTAACTTCCCCGCTATGATATCTGTCAATTATTATACCTTACTTTTAAGTGGCGCCGCCCTGGTGTCAAAAAAAGTCGTGGATGCCCTCATTGGATCACCAGTTTCTTTGCTGATTGGAGCATCAACGTCGTAGTAGACGGTGCATGCTCCGACTACAAGTCTACTAACGCTGGTGTTCCACAAGGCTGTGTGCTATCACCAACGATGTGTCTTGTGCATATCAATGATATGTTGCAAACTGGTAACATTCATTGCTATGCAGACGACAGCACTGATGATGCCTTATACACCGGTCGTGCCAATATTTCTCGGGAAAACGTCCTCGAGTACCGGGACAAACTTGTGTCTGAAGCCGAGTCTTTGTTCAACAAAGTCTCAGACTGGGGGCGACTAAATCTAGTCCAGTTCAATCCCCAGAATACACAAGTTTGTGCGTTTACCTCTAAAAAGAACCCCTTTGTCGTATCTCCTCAGTTTCGAGACACTCCACACAAGGTGAACAGTTTCGTGGTCACTTAGAAGGGAAGGCCAAATTGGCCTTTAAAAAGTTTGGCGTGCTCAGCAGAGCGAGACAGTATTTTATGCCGGCACATCGCTTGCAACTTTACAAAGCGCAAGTTCGGCCTCACATGGAATACTGTTCTCGTATATGCCCCAGTACAGTACAGTCTATATCCCAGTGCCAGCTCCTTCCGCTTGACCGCATCCAGCGAAGAGCGGTTCGAATCGTCTACGACCGAGTTCTTTCTGATCGGCTCGATTCTGGCGCTGCGTAGGGATGTTGCATCCCTTTGCATTTTGTATCGAATCTACTACGGGGAGTGCTCTGAAGAATTCTTCGGATTAATTCCAGCCGCCAAATTTCACGAACGCACATTGCGTCTAAATTCACGATACCATCCTCACAATCTGGATGCATGGCGGTCTACCACTGTGCGTTTTACTAGGAGTTTTCTTCCTCGTACAACGTCTCTGTGGAACTGTTTACCACCGGCGACTTTTCCGGATACGGCTAAGGGACCTTCAATTAAAGAGCTTACACAGTTTTAAAAGGTTGACATCACACCTGCAATACCGCTGTGAGCCGCATGTTCATTTGCCCCCTCTTCTATAAAAAAAACCCATGTAATCTTACCTTTGTTGTTTCCAGTATTGTTAGAATTAATTTCGTCCCCATCATTTTGTACATCTTCATATAACTCTTGAAGCCTAAAAGAAACAAGTGAGTTATAAGTGATATTATTTGTCGGGGTTATATTTTTAGTTATCGCTAAAAAAATAGGCCCTCAAACAAATTTAATTTGTGGGAGTTTTATTAAAATCTAGCGATCCACCCCGGCATCGCACAGGTGATTTCTGGAAAATGTTAAGAACCACCCTGGCAATCTCATAAGTACCCCATAAAAGATTTATCAAAATCGGTCAAGCCGTTTAGGGGGAGAAGAATAACGAACACGCACACCGGAATTTTATATATAAAAATAACTATGCTAATAGCTAAAATAATTAAAACGGAATATAAAGTTACATTTAATATAAAACTAGTGTAATCTTAGTATGTCATCCTAAATTGTCGAGTTTACCTAAAGTACTCGTCGCCTTCCACACTGATAGCTATCGAGCGTATGATCTCCATAATGCAGGCGTACGCTACTGAGATGCCGTAGCCCTCTTGAATGGTTGGCGCTTCCGTTCGATCTAACATCTCAATACTGTGAACAAAAACATTAAATCATAAATATTAAATTGTTAAAAAGTATCTTGTTTTATGTTTAAAGTATGTATCTACTGTTGTTTGAACCGGATTCTGATGTTTAATGTTCTTTGATGTGACACTGATTACTTGATTTTGCATGTTTTAAAATCTTCTAAAGGCATATATAAAAGAAACAATTATATAAAATGCAAAGTAATGACTTTAAATGTAAATTTAAACCTTTAAATTTAAAATACATCACGATGTTTGAGGTAAATACTTTATAAAGTGCTAAAGAAGATTTACTTACTACAAGGATTTGGCTGTTCCCGGCTCAAAAGTGACGCATAGCGGGAGCCACACGCCCTTCCAGTAAAAACCTGCTTGCTGTGGTATCCCTGATGATGCTGATAAAACATTTATTACATCATGTTATATCATAATTGTGTATTATTACACTCGGCGTCAAAAAAATCGCACATCCGAAAAAAATAATTTAAATACTATTTTAACACAACAGGCCAATGGCAATGTTGTGGTTTGAGGGTATCATTCGAAAGGTAATTTCATTAGCTTTCAGGAATTTCAATTGAATTTTACTTTTATAACGAGACGAAAGAGAAATTAAAGAAAAAGACAGGGTATGTACAAATTTGCAAATTAATAATTTAAAAAAAAACTTAATAAATACAAAAAAAGTTTTTAAAACCTAGTGTTACCCCCCCTTGCCTTGATAACGGCTTCCATGCGATCTTTCATGGACCTTACATGGGTCGCAATAGCCTCTTGGGGTATTTGTTCCCACTCTTCAAGTACCGCATCTTGGCGCTCTTGAAGAGTGGTTGGAGCTGGATCTCGAGCTCGCACGCTCCGTTTTAGGTCATCCCAGAGATGTTATATTGGGTTAAGGTCTGGACTTCGTGCTGGCCAATGCATAACAGGGATATCGACCTCCTGTAAATAATCCCGTACAATAGTCGCGGTGTGGCAACGAGCATTATCATGCATTAACATGAATCCATCACCGACATAACCAGCATACGGGACCACATGTTCCTCCAGGATTTCAGTAATGTACCGACCAGCAATTAATGACCCTTGCCCACGGCCACCCCGAGTCCGGGAAACGCACACAAGTTCTGTTTTCCCGTCGACGGAAATGCCACCCCAAAACATACACGAGCCACCCCCGTATTCGACGGATTCTTCGAAGCAGGGTTGTGTGAACCTCTCCCCCTGTCTTCTGTAGACCCTTCTACGTCTGTCATTGCAGAAGAGACAGACCCTCGTCTCATCAGAGAAGAGTACGGTCCGCCACTGTTCTAGAGTCCACTCGCAATGATTGCGAGCAAACTCTAGGCGATCTCTGCGATGCTGTGCAGTAAGTTTTGGACCTTTAGCAGGTCTATGGGCTGTTAAACTCTTTTCTTGTAACCTTCTTCTTATCGTAGAAACACTCACAGATGTTCTCCGAGTTGATCGAAGCTGTTGTTGCAACTCAACAGCATTTGTAAAACGGTTTCGTAAAGATGTCGTAACGATGAAACGGTCATCTCTTTCTGATGTGCACCGTTTTCTTCCAGATCCCAGTTTTCTAACATAACCACCAGTCTGCTGAAAACGTTGGAACACCCGTCGAACTGAAAAACGGGACAGGTTCAACTGTCGAGCAACGTCACACTGCCGCATCCCCGACTGCAATAGGGCAATCACTTGAGCGGCTTCTTCAGAGCTGGTGTCCATCTTTACTTGTTCTTACTTGGGTTACTTGTTCACTGCAAAGTCTAAATTACGACTGACCGTGACCCATATTTCATCCAGATCGACCCTTTTAATACCCTTTTTACGTGGTGTAACTACTGGCTCTATAATGATAAATGTTTTAATGATTTCATGATTTTTTTATTAATAATGTAAAGCTATTCAAATACCCATTTCAAACATACCAATATTTATATAAATATAATTCGTTTCTAGCCATTACAGCCATTTTTCGCGCAAACTCAGAGGTGTGATTTTTGTGACGCTGAGTGTATTACAGTGGTCACTGGTCAAACATTTTTTTACATGCCGTAGAACCATGCTGCAGCTATATTAACTGTGTAGCTGTAGCACGAATGGGTCGACTCGACCGGGGAAGGACCACGCTCTCACAGAATACCAGCGTAAAATAGCAGCTTAATACTGCTGTGTTCGTATGGTGAGTGTAGAGAACCGGACACCCTTTTTACTGGAAAAGAGGCATTCTATCTTAGTTGTCACGGGTGACAATCTGCTATTTGATTCTTTATTGAGGATAGATGTAGATATCTATGGGTCACAGCAACCACTTACCATCAGGTGGACTGTATGCTCGTTTATCACTCTATCTTATAAAAAAACGCCATTGGTAACTAGGTAGAAAAAGAAACGCATTATTTTAAATAAGTATCGGTAGATCTTTTACTACATTGGTTTAGGTGTCGTAGACGAAACATCTTTTAATTTTTTATGATTTACCCTACTGCTTTATTTTGGTCTCATCATCACCGTCATCATTGCATAATTTGGTTGGTCAATTTGCCGAACTAGATTAGATGTGATATGTACTGGCATTATTCATGAGATAATTTTATTGAATAAAACTAATAGATAATTATACTGCAATAAATTAACATACATAAGAAGGAGACGTTACATATGTTATAAAATACGAATATGTTAAATATGCCACAACAAACGTTTAGCTTTTTAATTATTGACAGGCAAATCTACTCAGCCACGATATTCGTTGTGCATACATATTTCTTTGCACAAGTGCCAATGAAATACAAACATTTGGTGTTACTCTGTTTTCTACAACAATATTTTATTACGAATGTCACCAACGAAGAGTCCTGTAAGTATTAGTCACCGTTTATTTACAAAACAGTTTCAAATAACTTCTCGAGTTTCCAGAAACGAAGAGTTAATGCACAAAAATACTCGTACTTTGGTGAATAGCATGGAACCTTTTCACACACATGACGTTGTAAAACAAATTATTTATATTTTGTTTATCTGCGAAAACCGTTTAGGATATAATGTAAGTTTCATTACTGTATTACGGGCAGCGTCAAAGGTGCGAGAAATCAGGATTTTTCGAATCTACATAAACACTCACGCCTGTCACCCAGAGGGGTAGGCAGAGACTACGGACTTCCATTTGGCGCGATCCTGACACACCTCTCTCGCCTCTTTTACATCCATATATCTACGCATACACGCTCGTCGGTTAAGGGTACTCCTAATCTGGCCCATTTTTAATGTATCGCCGATTTGGTCGATAAACCTTCGTCTAGGGCGTCCCTTCTCGACCCTGCCGTTCACTTCCGCAACATAAATTTGCTTTGTCACTCTTTCCTCGTTCATTCTTTCTACATGACCAAACCACCGAAGCATTCCTTTCTTAATCCTTGTCACAACGTCATCTTGCAAACCACACTTTTCTCTTATCACACTATTTCTCACCCTGTCATTCAGATTCAGCCCTAGCATACTCCTTAAGGAACGCATTTCTACAGCATTTATTCTACTCTCATGCTTCTTCTGCCAGACCCAACTTTCACTACCATACATTAAAGTAGGGACTAACACAGCATTATGAATTGCCATACGTGCCTTAGTTGACACATTCTGACTCCTCATAATAGCATGTAGAGCCCCATTCACTCTATTTCCTGCGTTCACTCGTCGTTCTATATCCTTATCATATCTACCATCCCTGCTAAATAAACATCCCAAATATACAAACTCATCCACTTGCTCAATCAACTCCCCTTCTATTCTTATTTCACATAAAGTTTTACTTTCTTCTCTTTCAAAAACCATCACTTTCGTCTTACTTGCGTTCACTTTCATACCCCTTTCTTTCAAAGACCAATTCATTAAAGTAACCATCATTTGCAACTCGGCCGCCGACGATGCAAATATGACTTGATCATCGGCGTACAAAAGGCATTTGATGGTTGACTCACCCATTCTCAACCCACATTCTTCAACTTTCAAAGTTTGCAAACAACTGTCCATAAATAAGTTAAACAGCCACGGGGAAGCCACACATCTTTCGAATCTCTTCATTAAATATCTAAAAATTATTTAAAATCGATCATAAGTTACTTAACGGCGTTGCCATTTCATAGTTTAAACATGACAATTCTGTACAGTGTTTCGTCGCAAATTAAACTTGAGATGTACCCGTCGCTTCACACCAGGCGTGTGCCTCCAGCCTGTCAGCCCCGTATGGACTTTTGAATTCTTCATGCAAAACTGCACGTAAGTTGTAACTATTACATTTGCACGCTATTTACTGATTATGTGCAAGATTCATTGAGTGCCGTTATGTGATTCCCCAAAAATCCTTGCAAAAACGAACTTTGCAAAAAACTTTCTGCCACGATAAGTCGACTAGTCACTAGAAGGTGAACATTGAATAGAATAATTTTTATTCAATATTGATTACAAGTAATTTTCATTGAAAGTAATTTTTTTTACTTTACCACTGGTTCGGAAAAAAAACTTCTGTCCTGGGTTCCTAGTAAGAACCAGCAAGAAACCCAGCGGGACTTTTTTTAAATAAATTTTACAATATAAATTATTTACAAAACTTATTTTAGAAACCGCTTGGAAGCGACAACCTCGTTACCAGGGGTTATTATCCAACCATATATTCATTTATACTATAATAACCATTTTTATACAGTTTTTGTTTAATTAAATATTTAACCTTGATAATAGAGGGACCTTGTATATTTCCTGGGACTTTGCTGTAATAGCGTCTACATTGCCCCAAGAATGAATTACTGACTCTGTGGAATCGAGAGACCAGTATCACTAGCTTGTGTTTGTTCCTAGTGTTTACAGAGTGTATATCACTTTTCTTACAAAGCTATCTTTGTTTTTGTGCACATACATAAAAAAAAATATAATTAGAGGCCAAAGTTAATAAATTTATTTGTTTAAAATTTTCTCTAAGAGACTCTCGGTTTAAGGTTGTAATTAGCTCTTATGACCCTCTTCTGCAAAACAAAAATAGTTTTAAAATCAGCTGTATTTCCCCATAGCAAAATCCCAAAAGACATTATGCTATGGAAATAACTGAAATAAACTAATCTAGCTGTCTCGACACTAGTGAGGTCTCTAACCTTTTTTACAGCATAAGCTGCAGAGCTTAGTCTGCTTGCTAGTTTGGATATATGAGGGCCCCACAGAAGCTTTGCGTCTAGAATGATGCCAAGAAAAACAGAGGATTCAACAGGGCTGAGTTTTTCCCCATTTAAAAACATATTCGTATTCAGATTTTTAACATTCGTTGTTGTAAATTTAATACATTTAGTTGTATTGCCCGAATAAATGTAGATTATTAACGTCAAACTAATTTTGATATATC